ACGACGCAGTTCCCACGTCCCACCGCCGCGTCTCCACTCCGAAGTACCCGCCGGCAGTCAAGGCCATGCCGGCGTGTCGACCTTCGGGTCTCTCATATCACCGTTGACGGAACACCAGCGACAAAAGTACCTCAGCGTTTGCTACATTCATGTTTGCATGCACCATATCTTTGCCATGCCGCAGCGTTATAGCTTTGCAGCTTTGCTTGAGTTGACCTTGTTGTTTGATCGGTTGCCATGCAGTTGTCAGCTGAGTTTGTGAATAACCTGGTGGCGGTACTAAATGTCCTTGCATCCCAAGTAGCGACAGCTCTGGACACCCTGAACTTTGCCCTGATGACCGAGCGAAGCAATCAGTCAGACACTAGAGTGCCTCCCAGGGCACCACGGAACTCCAGGCATGGGCATTTCGTCTGATCGATCCCGCTCGCCTACTCGAATTCGAACCCGACCTCTGGACACTTCATCCACCTGGTATATACCGGCCTTATCCCCGCCTCGTGCGGCACATCGGGATGATGCTGACAGCCATTCTGGTCGTCGTGCTGAGTCGATGTTGGATCGCCTGCCACCACCACGGCCTCTTGCTTCCCAGCCCCCACACATCGGACGCGAACCAGGACAGACAACGCCTACGACGCCTGACTCGGATTCTGATGGTTCAGTCCGTCCACATCCAGGTGCATCGTCGTTCCGCCCGTCTCCTACGGTGGTTCATGGACCTCGGGAACTTCTACAAGAATTCACCATTGCCCTTCGCAATGCGCACCTTGAACCTTTCACGGCATGGACACAGGGTGAGCTGGATGAGATGGTTCGACGGAAGAAAGACAAGGATTCCAGGCCTACCTACAAAACCATTGCCCGGTTCCTTCAGAAGCCCATTGAGGAAGTCAAGCAGGCCTGGAAGGTCTATCAGCGACTTGAGGCTCGCGGCTAGGAAGCCGTGCATCAAACGAGCCAGCGACCAGGGCGTGGCGGTGCGGTGGGGGAGCGCTGCAGGTTGTTGTGATGGTTGGGATTGCAGTCATCACTGATCACATGAATTTTGCTTGCTTGCACTTGCATGACATTTTGACCGGTGAAATACTGTTTGTTGTTGTGGGTGTTGCTGCTGGCTTGGACTGAATGCATGGCCGAGCTGCTCAAATCATGTCGGAACAAGACGTGCAGACATACATTACTTGGACCCATGGAGCGCAGCCGACGTGGTTACAGTTTCACGGACCTGGCACCTTGCTTGACAGACCAATCCGGCAGACTACGTCACCTCCGCCCCCACCAAGATTTCCAATACTTCTTCCACCTCCGCCTCCCCCACCGCCACCACCACCGGTGATTCTACACCCACAGTTTATGCCCTCAGTGCGTACCACCTCGAACTCAGCTCCCCGAGGACAATCCTGCCCTGCCACATCGAAATCGCAGCGCACACAACGCTCGATTTACAGCACTGACCATTCCCGTGATGATGATCCACGCAGTCCTGGGCCTTCCTCGAAACGCTCTCGAACAGCATCCGCTTCAGCACCGCGGAGATCTCGGCGACCCTTCACCGTGTTTCCCTCCAAGCGAGCCACCCGTCCATCGCTGTCCCCATCGGCAAATTGCAAGCATTACTGTCATGCCTTCCTACGTCATGGTCGGAAATGTCTTTCTCCATGTGCTCGTAGACGACGAGGACATTATCATTGCAGCATCAGCGGCGGTCGTATATTACAAACCTCGCTGCTGTGTCTCACTTTCAGTGTGAAAAGTTACCTTGCATTGCCTCGGTTATCACTCTTGCTGTGTGTGGTTGTCATTGCTTTAGTGTCTTCGCCGCAGATTTTCGAGTGCGTTCAGCCACAACCTGTCTTGCCGCTATGAATCCTCACTTTTTCGAGTACCAGATCGTGAGAGGAGTGGAATGGATTTGGATTTACTCACCGGGCACGTGGCGTCCCAATGATGCTATAGTGCAACCCCCAATCTACGCTTCCACGTATCGGGAGTGGCGCAGGTCATATCGTTTCCAAGTGTACTGGTCAGAAGACAGCACCGGAGGAACAACAGTGGACCCCGTCATCACGCCCAGTTCGTATGTGTCCTACCACGTCTGGGAGTACCGCGACTGGCAAACACGAGGGTATCAACGTCTTGGAGCTCCTGTAACAGCCATTGGATCTGCGACGCTCGTGAATGCGGACGCCAATTCCTCGGTGGACTCATCTGTTCCGGATGGGGCGTGGCGGGAACCTTCACCGCCACCATTCTATGACCCTTGGAATGATTCGGAGTGATACTTTGGCAGCATGTCGGATAAAATGACGCGGTTGTTCCTGCGTTGAGTGTGATTCCATGTTGGGTTATCTTGCTTTGTGTTGTGCGTTCCGTCTCCATGTGTTCGCCACTTTCCTTTATGACTTCAAGCGGCTTGCCTGGTTGATATGTTCAATTCTACAATGTATGGCGCTGCACGATGGGTCCTGCCACACTACTTTGACTACGACATCGTCAATGGACCCGCGAACACAAGTGTTGAGTGGATTCGGATCTATGTACCGGGTCCGTGGCATCCAGTCGCCGAAAACATCTTGGGGCCAGCCCCGGAGGACTCAAACACCTATCGGGAGTGGCGCAAAGTATACCACTTCGAAGTGTATTGGCCAAGGGAGAGCACGGGCGGCACCAATATGGGTGCTGTTGCTCAGCCGGTCTCTTATGCATCCTTCTATACTTGGCATTATCGGGACTGGGTCACCAGAGGATATCAACGGCTGGGTCGTCCACACCCTAGCATTGCGCGTCCAGTTTTCGCTTCGGGTTCACCGGGCCTCATGTACGCTGGACTGACCTCTTCGTCAGCATCTTCAAACTCAGATGGTGGCTGATGCTCGTCCTCGTCTTCCTGGGGAGTCTATTCAATTGAATTCGATTCAGGAGATGGACTTCAACAACTGAGCCGTGCATTGCTGCAAAAGTGATTGCTTGCGTGGTTGTTGTTGTGTCTCTTGCAGTGATTGTTGTCCGCAGCCGTACACCTATCAATTTGTCTTCCCGGGTTTGAATTGTCATGCCGTGGCTGGAATGGTGTCCGGATCCTCAACAACCAGATGCCCAGTGGGTCAAAATCTTTCATCCGGGATCATGGACTCCACATGAGGAAGATGATGCTCCACCTCCGCCTCACACATACAGAGAGTGGAAGGAGTTCTATGTCCCAAATCCGGATCAAGACGGTGCGCAGCCCAATGACAGCATGTGGTACAAAAGAGACTGGGCTACAGAGGGCTATCGGAGAGTCGCTGCCCCTCAAGCTGGTCATGACTTTGATTCGATGTCTTTTCCTGATCACCACAACGTTGCCACGCAATCCGCGGCATTGAGTATGTCACCACAGATGTTGGAAGCGATTCTTAGATCCTCGGATGCGGCGGCTTTCTCCACTGCAGATCTGACTCGTCTCCAAGAGGGGATCTCTCAACAACTGTCAGATCGCGCACGTCATGCTTCCCACACACCAACCAGTACGTGCATCTTGTGGAATTGCACCACCGGAGACTGTTGGGGTCTCTGACCCATACCGGCCTGTGAATCCATCAGGCAGCACCACCGCGAAGGTCAAACCTATCTTCGAGCTAAATGATGACTAGACTCACGCGTGTTGGGCAGACTACAAAAAAAGGAGTGGTTTTCATACTTGCACTACCTTGCTTGGTTGATGCTTGTGCATGGTTGTGCATGGTGCCTGTCTCTTTACTAGCTGGATCTGAACCCGCGATACGCCCTGCCTCTTACTTCGTCATGGACATCGAGGATGCGAAGCTTCACCCATGGCTCGAGTACTCGGTCTGGCAAGATCAGGAGTGGGTGCGGATATATACCCCAGGACAACCTCAACGGTGGCACCACGGAGACACTGTACCTGATCTACCAGACAATTTTTTTCGGGAGTGGCAGCGGGTAACTGATCCTAGTGGGCGTGCTGGTGAACACGGTCAGGCATGGACCATTCGCGACTGGCAACATCAAGGATACCAACGCATTCTGTCTCGAAGTGAGTCCTTCACTACACAACATGCCCATGATCAATCACTTGGAGATGTTCGGAATTCCGATGCCATTCCTGTTGAGGAAACGTTCACCTATGCCACTCCTATTTCTGACGGTGATCGCTCGACTGTTTCGCAACTTGCTTCAGTCCTCTATGGCGACACTCGCAATGCTCATCGTGGTGATCTCTCGCTCCCGTCTTCTGAGCGGTTTGGGCTGTTTCGCGTTCCCCTCGCCGCGGTGGATATTTTGGTCAACGATAGGAACACGAAGTGGAGCATGTGATCTTCCTGCCGAAAAGAAAAGAAGACTCCTCGCCCCTCATTGAGGGGCGTGTGTGTGCGGAGTGACAGAACACCCTGTCACCACCTTGGGTCGTTTTCGGAGGCAGGGGGCACGGCAGCTCATTCTCTAGCCGTGCCAACGAAGCTGTGAGAATGAGCCGGAAGGGAGTTTGGACGCAAACTCCTGTACCTGCAAGTGATTCTGAATGTCCTTTTGGCCCCTTGGTTGCGGCGCTGTTTGTGCTTCTTGTTCTTTCGGGTAACGTGTTCGCTGCTAGACGGAAGCCAAGTGACTGCAAGTCGATCCTACTCGAAACTCATCAGTTGTACTCGAGACTCATCAGTTGTACTCGAAAGATTAGCACTCTCCATTTGGAGTTCAAGTGTGTGTATGTCAGTGTGTGTGTATGTCAGTGTGTATCGCTGTGAGGCTCTACTGGTGTTCCAGCTGTTGGTCATGGGGCGGTGTAAAGAACCATGAGTTGGTGTGTGTTTTTAGAGCCTAAGCTGCCTTACTTTAAGGAAGATCTGTACTTGGTACCAACTTGCTGGCTTTCTTGAGGCTTTCACAAGCCATTTAAACATCGTTTCAACAAGCTGGTGGGCACCAATTCAAATTCACACCCACGCAAGCAGATGCCAACCCAGACTGCCCCTGCGCATGCAACCCCTGCCCGCCAGTCTTCAAGAGACCCACCGAGCCCGGGGAGAGCACTGCGGAGGTGAAGGACACTGACCGTGTCGAATCCTGGTTTCTGAGTCCGTGGGTCCTGGGTGTCCGTTTGTCTCAGTCGTCCAGTCCGTTGATCTGCCCGTCTGTCTGCTTGCTTGCTTGCTTGCCTGCCTGCTTGCTTGTTTGTGCACGATTTAGGAAACTGATGTAAGCGGAGTGAAACCAACCACTTGCGTGGACACTTGACCTTGCGTTTTGCGGTCTGGTTTCGATATCCAAGCCTGTGCCACGCTTTTGGGTGTTTTTCGCGATTAAGGCTTGCTGATGCAAAAAAGCCGGAGCCAGATTGTGCACTAGCAGTTTGCCAGTTTTCCAAAGAAATGCGTGCTGCACATTTATCATGTACTGGTCCAATGCATGGCGCCAACTGCCCAACTCTCTTTCTTCTTCTTCTTCTTCTTTGATGGCAGGTCCCGTGTTCAGACTTCAGACTTCATGGAATGTGAAGCTGTAGCTCATTGGATGAAGGTTGAAACTTGCAGAAATAGGCCCTGGATCAAGCCCCTCAACTCAAGGGCGATCCCTCCAAACACTCCAAGTACTGCGGACTTAAGCTTGCGCAACACAGACTTGTGTGTTTGACCTTGGGGATCTATTAGTTTTTTTGTTCTTTGTGGGGTCTACCTTTTGGGGTATAGCCTTGCTTCGGGCGCCGAGCTGTCGAAGCCAGGAGAGATACGAGAACGAGCGGCGGCTTCTTTTGGGGAGGCGCCCGAATTCGGCTTCGGCGCTTTGGTCTAAAGCTCAATGGAGAACAGAAGTCTTTTGGTGTTTGTGTGAAGAGTTTCCCTCCGACCCATTGGCTGAACTCCTAGACCCGTACCGATCATGTTTTCCTTTGAGAACTCGGCCGTCACCTTTCTCAGATATCCGGTGCTCACCGCCGTTCTAGTTAACAGGTCGCAAGCGGTCTATGGTCCGAAATCGGGGTCCTACATGTTGCCCACACCGCACGAAGTGGATCTCAAACTAGCCCAACGCAGCAAACACCGACCATAGCCACCAAATTGTTTGTGAACGATTTCCACCGTCGCCTTACTTGGGGAGAACCTTGTGCCCCCCTAATGTAGGCCGTTGGGTTTGGCTCTGACAAGTAAAACAAATCCGGATGCTCGAAGAAGGACACCCGAGACGCACTGCTTGGCGATGGTTTGAAGAGGATGCGCAACCCTTTGAGAGCGTTTCCTTGCAAACGAGAACGTTTCAACACTGCGCCCTGCCAGGGACTTTGTTTGGGGATTGGTTTGAAGGACTATGATCTTTCGTTGTATGGCTTGAATGGGGCGGCTTTCCAAGCCAGATTCCAAGTTGTCAAGTGGTCAGAGGCTTTGAGTCCCATTTGGGTGCGTCGTTTCTTGAAGGTACCCTTTTTGGGAAAACCAACATGGACAGCACCCATGTTTCGGAGCTCTATATCCTATTTTGAGACAGACCCATGCGATCTCCATATTTGGCTGTGCCTCTGTTTCGTTTCCGGCTCGTTTTCCGCCAGGTTCACCAGCCGGCGCCTGCGGCTTTGGGATCCCCCGCCCTGGCGGCTCGGAGGTTGAATCGGGCTCCCTTTGACAGAAGCCGAGGTGAAGAGGTTGGAGAGGTCGGAGGGCTTGGAGGGCTTGGAGGGCTTGGAGGGGGTGGGAGGGAAGTCCGTGGGTTGCTGGTTTGGGGTTCTTCAGTTTCTCTCCTCGGAAGCTTGTGTTACGTCTTGGCCCGTGGCGTGGCAAAGAGCTTCAAGTCAGACGCCAAGTTCCAGAGTTTACCTCAGAGGGTTTCCGTTCGGAGGAGAAACTCGGATACGCGCCTTTCCTGCTGGTAGACAGGTGTGCAACCACCAAATCCCTCTCCCCGCGCTGCTTATGTTCTTGTCGGATGTTGGATCCAGGCACAACAGCGTTTCTTAATGTGCCAGTATTCATTCAATTTGGCCATCATGAATAGCAATCCTCAGAGTTTGTGTCAGTTGTGCGCCGAAAGGACACACAAATCAGACCAAGGGTTTTCCAAGCTGTCAGCACCACACAAACAGGGATACCAGTCTCCATATGTTGCTTTTGACAAAAGATCAGACCCATGCTGTATTCCTGACCCTGACGGTTGGTTGCCCGCATGCGGAACACGCTACGCAGAGTCAATGGGTCTCAACTCTCAACCAAGGAGCGACAAGGAGGGCCGGCGTGCGGAGCCTCCCACGCCCTACGAGGCGCCGGGTGCCAGCTGCGAGGCTAGCCCAAAGCAGACACGTCTTTGTGGACTCGTCCTGCTCTTGTTTGGTTTGTGTTTGTAAAAACATATGGGTGAACCAAAGGATCGTGAGGCATGGCGTTTTGCGGAATTTGTGTTTTGGAATCCAGGTGGGTATGTGATTTTGTTGACTTGAGGCTGTGTCATTTTGTTGAGGCTGCTTTGAAGGGAAACCAAACAAAGAGAGCAACACCCACACGGCCTCATGGGCGGCTGCAGGCATTTGATGGGCTCAAGAGGATTGGGCATGAGGGCTGACTGGTTTGAGCCCTTGGCCGATGGCAGCTGTTCTCATTTCAAGCCGGATGCGCAGAGGCATGAAACAAGTCACCTGACAAGCACCCAACAGCCAAGCACTCTTCTCAGATTCTCTTCTCAGAATGGAACTTCTCACTGCTACAGCATGTCCAATGTGACAGGCTTGACAGCACTCAGAACTGTGATCCAGGACAGAATCAGCTCAATCCCTCATTGCCCTTGGCGAGGTCCAGTGGACCAGTAAGAGGCATGGCATGGCGCAGCCATGCGGGCATCTTTGGAGTCTCCGTGGTGGCTTGGGCAAGCGAAGGCGGCGCATGTTTTGTTCCTTTGAGGCAGGAGTAAACGAGAAGCTGGTTTTTTCGGGTAGGATTTCTTAGGCATGGTTGATCTTATACATGGGTGTCATGTTGGCTTGATTCCCAAGCGACCCATGACCATACCCTACGCCTTGCAGATTTTCGACCATGCCCAAGGGCACATCCGATTGAGGCCGGGATATGTCGAGGAGGAAAGAAGTCACTCGAACACCTTGCAATCTTCTACTTGTTGTCGGTTTGCTAGCCTCATCACGTTCCAGCAGTGTGAGCAGTCACCAACAAAATCGCATTCCCAGCACTGATCAGTTGGACAATATGCCATGTCACAAATTCCAGGCACCCCCTAAACCATTGGTTTCGTGTGGAACATTCCGTCCTGCTATCGGGCATTTTGGTCATGGCCGAGGTCATCATGGCCCTGCTCCTGGGATGTAACAGCTACCAGCTGGTGTCGGGGCGGGCGTTTGGTGCTGGGGGCAAGCGGAGGGGTAAATGTTATTCTTTTCGTTGAATTGTGTTTTTGATTTTAATAGTGGATCCTTTTTTTAAATTTATTTCAACTAGGGCTGGTCCCCTGCTTTGGTTAGCTGGTCGGTCGGTCGGTCGGTCGGTCGGTTGGTTGGTTTAAGTTACGGGGTATTTGGCTGGCTTAGATCTTCATGAGGGTGGGTCTTGGGGCGGTTGGGGTTTGATTTAGGAGAAGCGAAGGGCTGTTGGGCGGGTTGGCTTGGAGCTGATTGGTGTGCCGCTGGTTTAGCAGCAGCTTTGGGGTGAGCTTTGGTCTTGTTTTGGAGCGTTGCCCCAAACAACCAAAACTCGCCCACAAGTCACTTAACCACACCCAAAAGCGGCATATTTTTTGGTGGTTTGGTGGTTTGTGGCAACGCTCCAAAACTGATCCTAAACGAGACCAAAGCTCACTTAACCACACCTAAAGCAACCCTAAAGTGGCTGCTAAACCAGCAGCAGACCTATCAGCTCCAAGCCAACCCAACCCACTCAAAGTCAACCCTAAACCCGCCCATTGCAGCCTGGATGTCAGCCCTTCGCTTCTCCTAAAGCAACCCCAAACCACCCCAAGACCCACCCTCATGAAGATCTAAGCCAGCCAAAACCCCCGTAACTTAAGCCAGCCCTCAGCAACTCCCAACTGCCATGAAATCAGAGCCAATAGGCAACCCTGCGGAAAATCTGCCCTAAGAAATACCAGCCCTAGAAAGCAAAACACTGTTACCTTTTAATGGTTGGAACACCCTCCAAATTGATTGGGCATAAGCCCCAATGTAAACAATGTCCACCAAAGGGTCCCCAATCCACAGTTATATCGAATACCTGAATTTGGGAAGCTCCCCGGTCTGGATGAATCACCAAATAGCCGAGATCTCTTTATTGTCAGGAACAAATAAGAGTGAATAGTTGGGCACTGGGGAGTGACCCAGGAAGCCGCTCCTTCTGCACCTCACTGGCGATGCTGTGCGGGAGGAGGAGGTGGGCAGGTTTCGATTCGAAGGGGTTACCACGGCTGGTTGCAATAATTGCTCAACCAACAACCCCCTGGTCACCTCAGGGAAACCAACATGAGCTTGTTTAGGCAATAGGAGTCGGAGTTTAAGCACGTTAAAACAAGGGGCTGCGCCAACTCTGGTGCAGACAGCTCTGACGGCTGCTTGCAGTCCCGAAAGCCTGTGAGCTCACTGCACTCATGAGTGCGGACGCACGTGCATGAATGCACATTTCCCATTGTAGGCAACGCCCTTGACTGTTCATGGCTGCACAATAGCCAGAGGCCAACAACGCCCTGCCATGGTTGTTTGCAGATCTGGTGAATAAGCTGGTTTCCAGATTCTGCTTCGGAAGGATGATGAAATTGCATCGGGCACC